ATAAAAGCAAGGGAGAGATGCATACCTGGGGAGAAAGAGTGTGGGTGTCCTCCTAGTGAGGAGGAGCACATTAAAGAGGTGGTTAAGTCACTTTTATAGGACAGTTCTTCTGGTCTTTGTCTTCCTTCTGCCAAGTGTCCTGCTTTTCCCTCCTCACTAATTTGTTTCAGGATCTTTACCCTAGGTTTGCACACCTTTCAGCCAAGATGGGTCTTGATATAAAGGCATCTGGGAGAAGCAAGGCTCATTAGGGTCTGGCATCATCCCCTGACTTTTGACCCCCCAAGGAGCCTTTCTGTACATGTGCAATTTTTCCCCCGCCACAAGGAAGAAAAATATATGGCCTCTTGATACTTTACTCACAATTTAGCCCTTCTCTATTCCTACCATGCCTATTATCTTAAGGTATCCACAGGAGACAAAGTCTGGCTAATTTACCCTGTATCTGTTGTTACTTACATTTTGGAGGGCAAACAGGAGGCTGATTGTAAATGCCTAACCTGGAGCCCACCTAACTCCTGTCTCAGGAAATGCAAACAGAAGGCTAGTGGTAATTATCCAGCCTGAAGTCCACATTTTTCCTGCCACAAGATATGTAAGCAGGTGGCCAGTTGTAAATGCTTAGCCTGGGGCCCATTTGTCTTCTATTTCATGACTGCAAACTAAAGTTTGAATGCCTTCTCAGTTCAGTTCAGTTCAGTCGTTCAGTTGTGTCCGACTCTTTGCGACCCCATGAACTGCAGAATGCCAGGCCTCCCTCTCCATCACCAACTCCCAGAGTTTACTCAAACTCATGTCCATCGAGTCGGTGATGCCATCCAGTCATCTCATCCTCTGTCGTCCCCTTCTCCTCCTACCCCCAATCCCTCCCAGCATCAGGGTCTCTTCCAATGAGTCAACTCTTCACATAAGGTGGCCAAAGTATCAGAGTTTCAGCTTCAGCGTCAGTCCTTCCAATGAACACCCAGGACTGATCTCCTTTAGGATGGACTGGTTGGATCTCCTTGCAGTCCAAGGGACTCTCAAGAGTCTTCTCCAACACCACAGTTCAAAAGCATCAATTCTTCAGTGCTCAGCTTTCTTCACAGTCTGACTCTCACATGCATACATGACCACTGGGAAAACCATAACCTTGACTAGATGGACCTTTGTTGGCAAAGTAATGTCTCTGCTTTTTATTTTATTATTTTATTATTTTCCCAATTATTTTTATTAGTTGGAGGCTAATTACTTTACAATATTGTAGTGGTTTTTGCCATACATTGACATGAATCAGCCATGGATTTACATGTGTTCCCCATCCTGAACCCCCCTCCCACCTCCCTCTCCATCCCACCCCTCTGGGTCATCCCAATCGCCAGTCCAGGTTGGATGCATGTCTCTGCTTTTTAATATGCTATCTAGGTTGGTCATAACTTTCCTTCCAAGGAGTAAGCATCTTTTAATTTCATGGCTTCAATCCCCACCTGCAGTGATTTTGGAGCCCCCAAAAATAAAGTCTGACACTGCTTCCACTGTTTCCCCATCTATTTCCCATGCAATGATGGAACCAGATGCCATGCTTTTAGTTTTCTGAATGTTGAGTTTTGAACCAACTTTTTCACTCTCCTTTTTCACTTTCATCAAGAGGCTTTTTAGTTCCTCTTCACTTTCTGCCATAAGGGTAGTGTCATCTGCATATCTGAGGTTATTGATATTTCTCCCGACAATCTTGATTCCAGCTTGTGCTTCTTCCAGCCCAGCATTTCTCATGATATACTCTGCATATAAGTTAAATAAGCAGGGTGACAATATACAGCCTTGTCGTACTCCTTTTTCTATTGGAAACCAGTCTGTTGTTCCATGTCCAGTTCTAACTGTTGCTTCCTGACCTGCATACAGGTTTCTCAAGAGGCAGGTAAGGTGGTCTGGTATTTCCATCTCTTTCAGAATTTTCCACAGTTTAGTGTGATCCACGCAGTCAAAGGCTTTGGCATAGTCAATAAAGCAGAAATAGATGTTTTTCCGGAACTCTCTTGCTTTTTTGATAATCCAGTGGATGTTGGCAATTTGATCTCTGGTCCCTCTGCCTTTTCTAAAACCAGCTTGAATATCTGGAAGTTCACAGTTCACGTATTGCTGAAGCCTGGCTTGGAGAATTTTGAGCATTCCTTTGTGTCAGATGAGTGCAACTGTGCGGTCGTTTGAACATTCTTTGGGATTGCCTTTCTTTGGGATTGGAATGAAAACTGACTTTTTCCAGTCCTGTGGCCACTGCTGAGTTTTCCAAATTTGCTGGCATATTGAGTGCAGGACTTTCATAGCATCATCTTTCAGGATTTGAAATAGCTCAACTAGAATTCCATCACCTCCACTAGCTTTGTTCATAGTGATGCTTTCTAAGGCCCACCTGACTTCACATTCCAGGATGTCTGGTTCTAGGTGAGTGATCACACCATCATGATTATCTGGGTCATGAAGATCTTTTGTGTACAGTTCTTCTGTGTATTCTGAATGCCTTCTACTACTACACTAATCTTGGTTCCTGACTTTGGTATCTCCTATCAGTGTCCATTGCCCTTGTTTCCTCTCTTACTTTACAAGAAAATAAATGCAACTAATTATTTAGGTGTTACATATAGTCTTACATAAGTGTCATCTTACATATAGGGATGATGCTATTGCTGTATGTTTCCCTGAAACTAAAATAACTTAGTAAAATCATTTATCTAAATGATTTCCCCCTTAAGCTACTTTATGGTGAGAGTATTTTTTTTTCATAAATGAAGTTAGTATAAATCTTTTTAACAGGAACTTTTCTCTTTTCCAGGAAACAAATCCTAAAATATCTGCATTCTTTGATCTTTGTTATGGTTTTATAAGTGCATTATTATTATAGTGTTATTTTTCAGGGCTACCCTTTCTTAAAAGTATTCTGAAATATAATGCGGTAACAATATAGATTATGCTCTTGAGACCCATTGCTGTGATTCAGCTTTTTCCATTGTCTTTATTTTTTTCTGTATTTTCAAATACAGGTAACATTATAATCCTTAGAAAGATAGGAGATACAAGCACCGAAGAAGAAAAGAATGGGACACAGAAAGAGCAAAAAAATAGCTCATTTTCAAGAGTGCAATCAAATGCTCATAAGCATCACCAGCAGAGAGGTAAATTTTACAGAAAAATCATACATGGTAAAAAAAAAGTCTGAAATATTTCTGAGTAACTGGATAAGCAAATTCACAAACTTGGAATGTGTTTTAAAATTGCATGTTGCTAGTCTAATCTTTCTTGGAAATGCATGCCTACAGGATGGTATAACTTCATGCCATGGCAATTGAAAAAAAAATTATATGAATTACTTAAGGGAGAGAAGGATAAGAATGAGAAATATTTTGTACTTGTTCACAAGCCTGTCTGGATGGTCCAATTTTACTTTAAGGAGGCAATACAGGAGGGTTAAGAGTATGGTTAATAACCTGAGCATCATTGTATCTACATTTTGAAAAAATAAATGTTGTAGGCAACGAGAGCACAGAACAAAGACAGCCCTTTGTATCCATAATTACGCTGGTCAGTGCAATGTAAGCATTTTAATATGAATGTGTTAGGCATTGCCATAGTAGAGAAGTCTTTGCAACCATTAAGGATCTCCATAGTCTAGTGCACAGGTTGGAACCATCTTGACATTGTACATACTCTGAGCCCCTTCCAGCTGCCTACCCAGCTTCATTATAGTTCTTGTTTAAATCCTTCAGTGGCTTAGCAGGTTCTGACAAAAGGAGGGATGGTGGTTATTATGGGGCAAAGCTGCTAAGAGTGGTGGGAGGGCAACAATCTCACGGTTCCAACTAAACATAAAATAGATCTTTGTGAGCCTTTTGGATATCTATATTCTTTGATCATTCCTTAAGCTGTCTTTACACCCAAATCAAAGCAATGATTGAGGCAAATATTCACAGGATTAATACAAGACAGACAGCTTCGTTCCATCTCTCTTTTTTCTATTAGAATATCCTTTTAGATAAAAGAGTTTATTGGTTTTTGGCTGTTCTGGGTTTTTGTTGCTGTTCTTGGACTTTCTCTAGTTGTGGCAAGTGAGGGCAACTCTCTAGTTGTGGTGCCTGGGTATCTCATTGCTGTAGCTTCTCTTTGTTGTGGAGCATGGGCTCTAGGACACACAGGTTTTAGTAGTTGCCACATGTGGGCTCAGGAGTTATGGCACACAGGCTTAGTTGTCTGGCAGCATGTGGAATCTTCCCAAACCAGGGATTGAACCCATATCCCCTGCATTGGAAGGCAGATTCTTAACCATTGGACCACCAGAGAACTCCTCTGTTAAAGTATTCTTTCAATTAATTTCAAATAACATGTCCCAAATTTGGTGGCATATGAAACTAAATTTCAGGTACTGTATACAGAGAAGACTGCTGTATTAAGATACACATAGAAACAGTATGGTAAAGACTGTTCTAGAGTTCACTGAGACTCTCAGATGATATCATACTAATGAAATATCAAAAGCTTTGCATATATGGGTGTATAGCTTTAAGACAATAAGATCACAGGTAATTCTTTCTGAAAGATATGTTGAATTTACTGACTGAAAATACAGAAAATAATTCTTTTTTGAAGGACATTCAGGAAACAACGTTGAAGAAAGAAATGACAAAAAACCAAACAACGTTGAGGAAAGAAATGAGAAAGAAACAAACAACATCGAGAAAAGAAATGACAAAAAACCAAACAACGTTGAGAAAAGAAATGACAAAGAAATAAACAACATCAAGAAAAGAAGTGACAAAAAACCAAACAACGTTGAGGAAAGAAATGAGAAAGAAACAAACAACATCGAGAAAAGAAATGACAAAAAACCAAACAACGTTGAGAAAAGAAATGACAAAGAAATAAACAACATCAAGAAAAGAAGTGACAAAAAACCAAACAACATTGAGGAAAGAAATGACAAAGAAATAAACAACATCAAGAAAAGAAATGACAAAAAACCAAACATTGAGAAAAGAAATGACAAAAAGCCAAACAATGTTGAGGAAAGAAAGGATAAAAAACCAAACCAAGAACCTTTTGGATTGAAGTTTGGACAAAGCCCTTTAAACAAGCAACCTTTAATGAAGCAGGTAAATACATATTAAGAATTAACCAATATAAAGGCCCTAAATTTAATGTATTCCTTAATATTAAGAATTATTTTAAATTCTACTAAGAGTGGGGATTTTTTCTTAATATTCCCCCATGCAGTCTTGAACATAATTTAAATTCAGTATTTGCTAATTGATTTTTCCTCTGTAACTATTTCCTTTCATTCAAAAATGTTTTGCTATTTTCAATCACTGCTAGAAATTTTGAATTTATAAAATGCCAAAATCAATGATTGGTTTCACTATTTTTCTTGTGTAATCATTCTCATTTTTGTCCTCATATAATAAGAGTCTTTGATCTTAAGTTTTAGTATAAAAACAATTTTAGTAGATGTGTAAATGAATTGTAAAACTAGAAGTCAGGTGACATAGTGCATGACATAAACTCTAGAACCAACAGATAGGACTTACTGTAGCTGTACATCTTATGGTAGCAAATTCATCACCTCTAAACTTGTATAGATGAGCCAGTCACTGGACAGAAATTTGAGAGGTGTTCATATCCAGATTTCATAAGTTAACACTGATGCTATGGTTTCAACTTGGTTTATAAAGTGTTATGTGGTCATTTAGTTAAAAATGGTGGTCCTGGGAGCTTAAATCATTTTTGCTAAATTATATAAATGAAAATTTGGGGGGAGGAGAACATGTTGCATTTTCAAATATTTAGAGGATTCATTTAGCAAGTATTAAATATTTTTAAAATTTATTTATTTTTAATTGAATGATAATTGCTTTACAATATTATGTTGGTTTCTGCCATACATCAACATGAATCAGCCATAGGTATACATATGTCCTCTCCCTCTTGAACCTCCTTCTCACCTCCCACCCCATACCACCCCTCTAAGTTGTCACAGAGCACTAATTTGAGCTCCCTGAGTCATAGAGCAAATTTCCACTGGCTATTTTACATTTGGAAGTGTATATGTTTCCATGCTACTCTCTTCATGTGTCCTACCCTCTCCATCCCCCTGTGTCCACAAGCCTGTTCTGTATGTCTACATCTCCTTTGCTGCCCTGCAAATAGGTTCATCAGTATCATCTTTCTAGATTCCATATATATGTGTTAATATACAATATTTCTTTTTCTTTTTCTGACTTACTTCATTCTATATAATAGGCTCTAGTTCATCCACCTCATTAGAACAGACTCAAATTTGTTCTTTTTTATGGCTGAGTAACATTCCATTGTATATATGTACCACAGTTCTTTATCCATTCATCTGTCTATGGACAGCTAAGTTGCTTCCATTCCCTGAAAGTGAAAGTTGCTCAGTTGTGTCCGACTCTTTATGAACCCATGGACTGTAAAATCCATGGAATTCTCTAGGCCAGAATATTGGAATGGATAGCCAGTCTTTCCCTTCTCCAGGGGATCTTCCCAACCCAGGGATTGAACCCAGGTCTCCCGCATTGCAGGCAGATTCTTTACCAGCTGAACCACAAGGGAAATATCCATGCCCTAGCTATTGTAAATAGTGCTTCAATGAACATCGGGGTGCATGTGTCTTTTTCAGTTATGGTTTTAACCTCACACTGGTGAATGACAATCACCAAAAAATCTACAAACAGTAAATGCTGGAGAGGGTGTGGAGAAAAGGGAACCCTCTTGCACTGTTCGTGTGAATGGAAATTGATACAGCTACTATTGAGAAGAGCATGAAAGTGAAAGTGAAAGTTGCTCAGTCGTGTCTGACTCTTAGCAACCCCGTGGACTATACAGTCCATGGAATTCTCCAGGCCAGAATACTGGAGTGGGTAGCCTTTCCCTTCTCCAGGGGATCTTCCCAACCCAGGGATTGAACCCAGGTCTCCCACATCACAGGCAGATTCTTTACCAGCTGAGCCACAAGGGAAGCCCAAAAACACTGGAGTGGGTAGCCTATCCCTTCTCCAGCAGATCTTCCCCACCCAGTAATTGAACCTGGTCTCCTACACTGCAGGCAGATTCTTTACCAACTGAGCTATCAGGGAAGTCTGGAGAAGAGTATGGAGATGCCTTAAAAAACTAGGAATAAAACTACCATATGACACAGCAATCCCTCTACTGGGCATGTACCGTGAGCAACTATTAATTAAATGCCTATTCTAGGCACTATACAAGGTATCAGAATAGCCCTGCTTCAAACATTATATGTGGTGGTAGGAAAGAAGGATAAGAAAGAAATTTAATACCAGGCAGTTAGCAGTACATGTTCTAATAGAGTATAAGCTATATATTGTGGGGATGCAACAATCCATTTTAATTAGGCAGACTTATGAAAGTTTGATGGAGGAGATGACATTTAATCTATAAGGTGAGAAGGATTTTGGTAAAGTTTGGAAAGAAGGACATGAGATTATAGTCTGAAATGCATAAATGAACTAAGAATAGTGTAAAATAGTATTTTCAAATTGAAGTCATCTATTTCTCATACTTTTGAGACTTTTGAGACTGTCATAGCTGGACTCATTGGAAAAAAAGTACTTTGCAATAAAGAACTATATTAAAATTTAAGCACAATTATTCTATTAATAAATTGAGTAACAATTATAGTTCTCAATCATACTTTGAAATCCCAATAAGCCAGTTTTGTATTTCACAAGATTTAATCTTAATATTGGTAAAACACAACAGTATTTATTCAGCACAATTTTTTTGGATAGTTTCTGTTGTTTATAAGGACAATTTCTGTTGTTTTCGCTTGTTTCTGTTGTTTTCTAAAGGTTTAAATCTGTGCTATCCAATTGGATGAAATTATAATTTTTATATAAACATTTGTAAAAAGATTACAAGTTCCTTTCGAAAGATACTTGGGGGCATATACATCTTTAGGAGATAGATCTCTATCCTTCCTGCTGACCCACTGTGTTCCCAATACTACTCACTTAGAAAAGGAAAGTGGTACATGTACATTTCACCCAATCTCCTTATTTATGTTTTATAGTAGAAAATCTGGAGAGTGATTATGACTTTATGCTTTAGAAAAACAACAGATTAATCATATTTTTATTTTACTGAAGTTTTATTGAATATTATTCTTTATGCCAATACCTCCTCTGCCTTTTAACAATTGTTTTCAGGTTCTGGTAGTTATACTAAAAAGTCACAATGTCAGATCTAGGCCTTTTTTTTTTCTTTTGACCTGGCAGTATTTGCTAGTGAAAAGCTTTATTTCTTAGCATGGTCTATATGACTTTGTCCACTTATATTTTTGTAGTATCATAGAAATTTGTCAAAGGTTTCATTATTTCCATTTGACTGATTCACTCCATTGCCTTTTTTATTTAAAAAAGTGAAAAGGTAGGAAGACTGAGTTGTTGCCAGGTCAATTTACTAACAGTATTAAGCCTACATTCTGTTTTCTTTATAGCTACCTATCCCGTCACTTGCCTTTCTTGCTAGAATTAAGTGTTAGTTTATATGGAAGAGTTTATTACAAGTTATTTTTTAACTGAAATATAGTTGATTTACAATACTGTGTTAGTTGGTAGTTTCTTTTTAATGATCCTGAACAGATGGAGAATATAAATAGTATGATTTTGAACACTATCCTATGGTTCTAAGGATTTGTGAAACAAAATATTATTAACTATTCTGTCTCTCAGCTATATAGTCACAAAATCTGTTGTTTTTTAGCTAAAACATAGATCCAGAAAATGATAGTAGAACATTAACTTGCAATATATTCAAATCCACAGAACAACTGATTTCTCATATTTAAAACACTTTATTAAAGTTTTACATGCATAATATTCTTTATGCAAATGACATGAGACCTTAAAGATTTCTACATATTAGCTCAAAAAATTAGTCTTTATTTTTTTTTAAATTTTTCCAATTTTATATTTTTTCTTTTTTTTTCCTCTTATTTTCTTTTTCCATTTATTTTTATTAGTTGGAGGCTAATTACTTTACAACATTGCAGTGGTTTTTGTCATACATTGAAATGAATTAGCCATGGATTTACATGTATTCCCCATCCCGGTCCCCCCTCCCACCTCCCTCTCCACCCGATCCCTCTGGGTCTTCCCAGTGCACCAGCCCCGAGCACTTGTCTCATGCATCCAACCTGAGCTGGTGATCTGTTTCACCCTAGATAATATACATGTTTCGATGCTGTTCTCTTGAAACATCCCACCCTCGCCTTCTCCCACAGAGTCCAAAAGTCTGTTCTATACATCTGAGCCTCTTTTTCTGTTTTGCATATAGGGTTATCATTACCATCTTTCTAAATTCCATATATATGTGTTAGTATACTGTAATGGTCTTTATCTTTCTGGCTTACTTCACTCTGTATAATGGGCTCCAGTTTCATCCATCTCATTAGAACTGATTCAAATGAATTCTTTTTAATGGCTGAGTAATATTCCATGGTGTATATGTACCACAGCTTCCTCATCCATTCGTCTGCTGATGGGCATCTAGGTTGCTTCCATGTCCTGCCTATTATAAACAGTGCTGTGATGAACATTGGGGTGCATGTGTCTCTTTCAGATCTGGTTTCCTCGGTGTGTATGCTCAGAAGTGGGATTGCTGGGTCATATGGCAGTTCTATTTCCAGCTTTTTAAGAAATCTCCACACTGTTTTCCATAGTGGCTGTACTAATTTGCATTGCCACCAACAGTGTAAGAGGGTTCCCTTTTCTCCACACCCTCTCCAGCATTTATTGCTTGTAGACTTTTGGATAGCAGCCATCCTGACTGGCATATAATGGTACCTCATTGTGGTTTTGATTTGCATTTCTCTGATAATGAGTGATGTTGAGCATCTTTTCATGTGTTTGTTAGCCATCTGTATGTCTTCCTTGGAGAAATGTCTGTTTAGTTCTTTGGCCCATTTTTTGATTGGGTCATTTATTTTTCTGGAGTTGAGCTGGAGGAGTTGCTTGTATATTTTTGAGATTAATCCTTTGTCTGTTGCTTTGTTTGCTATTATTTTCTCCCAATCTGAGGGCTGTCTTTTCACCTTGCTTATAGTTTCCTTTGTTGTGCA